TTAATTAATCATGCTTTGAAGACTATTTAATGCCACAAGAAGATGCTCCTGGTCAAGTTAACATAATAAGATACAAAACTATATCTAGAACACAGTCCTGATTTTATAAAGTAACAATACATATAGAAAAAAAATGGAAGAAAAGGTACTAAAATGTTACAGGGCTTATCTCTGAGCATTAGACGAGGTAATTTTTCTTTTCTACAATAAATATCAGGATAAAGTTGATTTCTGAAAGAATAAAAATAAAGCAATGATTGACAAGAAAAATAAGAAGCCAGGCGTATTGGACACAGCCTTCTAAGGAAATGAAGACGGCTGTCTTTTCTGTCTTTCTCTCTTAAGGAAATGATGGAGCAAGTGTGTCTTAAGCACCTCCTCTTCTCAAAGGCATCCCAGAAGCCGTTCCTCCATCAGATCTGGCTAATTCCTTCTCTGGCCTCCTCTCACTAGACTCTGCCAACCTCCACCTTCTTCCCACTCAAAGTCTGGCCACAACAAAACAGTCCCAACCCAGGAAGCAGGTCTGGAGGAGGTCAGCATGCTGAGTGATTGCTGAGGGAATGATGTGTGTTTCTGCAGAAGTGCCGTCTGCCTCTGCTAAGTCATCATTTCATAACACACTCTACATCAGGAAGACTTTTCACACACAAAAAAAAACCCTACGCTCTTAAAATTTCTTGCAAAATCTACTTGCACGGATGATGCCAGAAGTCCATTTCTCCTTCAGCAGCATAATTCAGGGAGCTTGACTAAAAATCATTGAACTGGTCTCTTAACGAATGATATTCACCAAATGTTTACTGGGTACCATCCAGTGAAAGCGAAAGTGGTTCAGTCGTGTCTGACTCTTTACGACCCCACGGACTATACAGTCCATGGAGTTCTCCAGACCAGAATACCGGACTGGGTATAGCCTTTCCCTTCTCCAGGGGATCATTCCCAACCCAGGAATCAAACCCAGGCCTCCCACATTGCAGGCAGATTCTTTACCAGCTGAGCCACCAGGGAAGCCTGGGAACCACCTGGGGTTCTGGGAAATATCATGTGGGTTGTGGATCTGGGGAATAATGGTTCCCAGAGATGTCCACATCTTCATCTCGGAACATGTGAATATATTATATTACATGGCGAAAGGGATTTTACAGATGTGATTAAGGTAAGGATCTTGAATCGGTGAAGCCCGATATAACCACAGGGGTTGCTATAAGGGAAAGAGGCAGGAGGATCAGAAGATGTGGCAAAAGATGCAGAAGTCAGGTGACTCAGGACCACAAGCCACGGAATATGGCAAAGCTAAGAGCTGGAAAGGCAAGGAAACAGATTCTCCCACACAGTAGGCAGAGGGAACAAAACCTGGCTGACCTACTTTGAACTTTTATTTCCAGAACTATAAGATAATAAGTTTGTTTTAAGCTACTGAACTGGTGGTGATTTGTTGTAACAGCAACAGCCAGTGAACAAGTGATATTCAATGAAAGCTAGAGACTCCATGTTGAACATGTATCATCTTATTTCTTATTTTTGCCAGAATTTCCCAAACTGTGTTACAGTGAATGCAAGTCCGACAAGCCACTGCACAATTTTAAAGTGTTCGCTAAGCAGATGAATACATTGTGTCACCCTTTTGGAAATCCATACTGTACTTTAGCATCTTAAAGACTGAATACTCTTCACTGTGATTAATCCAAAATTCTCTAAACTTACTTGACCATAGAAGCTTTTCAACATCTGTTTATATTAACATTATTAATGGCAGCAAATTGCTTTGTATCCCTGAGCTCGAGGCTATAGGGATGAATCTAGTGATTAAACTACTTCCTGTAACTGAAACAAGTTTAACAAACTGGTAGACTCTATCGACCTCTATGACACTTGAAACATGCTCTATTTTTAGCTGTCTTCATAGGTGGGATTTTTACTCACCCATCAGGAAGTTAAGTTCCCAGAGGGTAAGTGTATGTCTTTACAAACCCATCTTCTGTAGCATCTTCCCACAGGGAGCTCATACTCCAGTTGCATTCATATAAAAAACAGACATTTTGGGAAGGCAAACAGATTTTTGTTATCTAGTTTGATGTAACCCAGAGTATATAGCTACATTCTCCTCCTTCACTGCCTGGCCTCCTTCTCCTTCTGATCTTAAAGTCTGAAGTCCTAAAGTGATACTGAGACAGGCTGGGACCTGGGACCCTTGGCTACAGTGCCTGCACTTGGACATACCTCTCCTTGAGCTACAAAATACAAAGAAGCTCTGAGGACTAAAAATAACCACATGCGTGCACAGTTAAGGCAAATTCTAGACCAAAAGATACAAACAAAAAACCCAACTGCCACTTCTGAAGAGCCAAAGCAAACAAACAAACTAACAAACAAAAAATGGCATCAGGAGCAAAAGCAGGGTACTGCATATGACCCCCGGCACATACCATCACAAAGAGGTGGACAAACCACCTCAGCCACCCCCTCCAGCCCAACCCCTGGGCCCGCCCCTACCCTCACCCCATTTAAGGAACAAGCTCACCGGCTTCAGGAGCAAGCAAGGAAACCTAATCCTTGTTTTTGCTCCCTCCTGCTGCAGCAAGGGTCCCTGTAAGGCCTTGCCTGAATTTCTTGTCTGGCCTCCGATCAGTTTCTATTGACTGGGGAAGGTCAAGAACCTTCATCAGTATCAATATTTCGTTGATTTATAAATTATCATAGTGGTACAGTTGGCTCTTTGGGATCATTACCACACCAGGTAATAATATTGTTAGGGTATTAATTACTCCTCTATTTTCCAAAAGGGACTAAGCCATAGTTCAACATACACTACATTCTTTCTGGTGATGGTTTAGTTGCTCAGTCATGTCCAACTCTTGCAACCCCATGGGCTGTAGCCCACCAGGCTCCTCTTGTCCATGGGATTCTCCAGGCAAGAATACTGGAGAGGGTTACCAGTCCAGCTGCAAATGACTGACCCTCTTGTTCTCCTTACAAAGTATTTTTTGCAGCTTTCCAGTCTCCCATCATTATAGGGAACACACTTATGCAAACATAGACTCTGTTTTTTTTTTTTAATAAGAAATCAAGTAATTTTAAAACAAAAGTAGATGAAAACTTTTCAGCAATGTATATTTTAATTACAAAATTAGCAAGCATAGTACCCCATTTCCAACTAATTTTCAACTCAAATCAATGACATTTCAAAGAACTACCTATTTATTTTTAAACTCAAGTAGGAAAAAGATCTGAAGCATTTAATAAATGTTATAAATTAAACTACCATGAGCAAAATTCATCAGCTCTTTTTATGTATTGTTGAGTATTCTATACACTCCACCAGCCTGTAACAATTAACTAGGTTTAGCCATAAGAAAAAAGTTAGCTCCTGAACTTAATTTCAACAACATAGGTCTAAGTGAAGCTGCAATAAACCTAGGGAGAGAGCTTTCTCATGCCATGCCCTTCTTCTTAGTAATGGGAAAGGTATGATCCCAGAGGGAGTATGTTTTATTTTATCTTCTCCTGTTAATATATTAATTCCAAGTTCACTTCTCAGCTGTTATGACACAAAGATGTCTTTACTTCTTCTGATTTATTTCTACTTATCCTCTGTATAATCAGTGATGCCAGGACCCTCCTCTTAGTGTGAGCCATGGTGGTCACCCCTAATGTGAATTTAAAGTCCTAGACACCACACATCTAAGGACCTACTGCTCTGTGACAATCTAGAAGGGTGGAATGGGGAGGGAGATGGGAGGGAGGTTCTGGAGGGAGGGGACATGGGTGTACCTATGGCTGATTCTCATTGACGTATGACAGAAAACCACAAAATTCTGTAAAGCAATTATCCTTCATTAAAAAAATAAATTTAAAAAAATTTAAAAAAAAAGAAGAGTGGGTGGGGGCTTGATAATGAGTCACCAGTGAAAGTGAAGAATCTGATCACTTCTGTGCTTAGAATCTGTCAGTAGTCAGTGCTCTGCAAACAGGAGACATGGAAAGAAGGATGCATATTCAGTGGTCATCTACTGGTATCAGAAGATTCTGAACAATGAAAACACAAGTAGTTGCTTCTTGGTGCCCAACAAGATAGCTATAGGTTTAAGGCAAAACATAATTTTGCCATCAAAATTACTTCACTCAAATACCATAGGATATTACTTATATGTGAAATTTATTGATATCATACAAATGAACTTATTTACAAAATAGAAACAGATTCACGGAGAACAAAAACTAATGGTTATCAAAGGGGAATGGATGGGGTATAAATTAGGCATTTGAGATTAACAGCACCACACTACTATATATAAAATAGATCACCAATAATGTCCTACTGTGTGGCACAGAAAACAATATTCAATATCTTATAATAACCTATAATGGAGAAGAATGTGAAATACATATATATATATATATATATATATGTATGCATAACTGAATCATGTTGCAGTACACCTAAACTAACACAACACTGTAAATTAATTATGCGTGTGTGTTTGTTAGCCGCTCAGTCGTGTCTGACTCTTTGTGACCCCATGGACTGCAGCCCACCAGGCTCCTCTGTCCATGGGGTTCTCCAGGCAAGAATCCTGGAGTGGGTTGCCATTCCCTTCTCCGGGGATCTTCCCAACCCAGAGATCGAACCCAGGTCTCCTGTGCTGCAGGCAGAGTTTTTACCGTTTCAACCACCAGGGAAGCCCAAATTAATTATACTTCAATTATAAATTTTTAGAAATTAAAAAAAACCCAACATGACAATGCACTTAATGAGCGCTGAATACCACTTTATGATTCCCTGACTCTTCTTCAATAGGAAGTAACTAATATCCAGATTTGGGCATTTAAAAATTCCATATTTTAATATTTAATTTTATATTTAAACTTTATAAAAATTGCAATTTTTTTTTTGCAGTTTTTCCATAACCCTCTCAACTTAATTTCTCATCGAAATTATTTTAACGATTAATTTTACATCATTCTCCACATCAACTCTCCGGCATTTAAAAGAACAGATGAAAACAGGACTACTTCATTCAGGAAGCACCTCCGGAGGGCCTGCTAGGTCCCAGTCGCAGCAGCCCAGGGAAAGCAAGCTGCCTGCCTGCTGGGTGCTGGGTGCGGTTCACGCCGAGCAGAGCGTCAGCTTGCGGAGTGTGAAGTCAGTAAATCGCTCAGACACCAAGAGGACGACGGCTCACAGGCAAGAGGCATCGGTCAAGTTTCTTTCAGCGGAAAGAAACAGAACCTCAATGTTCAAGTGTAATCGGAAAAGGGCTTTGACGGGAGGGTCCTCAGGCGCCCTCAGACCGCGAGGAAGGGCGGCAGGACAAGGGGGCCCCGCGCCGGCCCGCTGCACAGGGCTCCACCGCCCGCTCCGCTCGGCCGCGCCGCCGTCTCCCCTCCCTCCGCAGCGCCGGACCACGTTTCCCGTAAGCGCGCGGCCCCGCGGCCCCGGAGGGTCCCGCCCGGCCGTCACTGCCCACGCAAGCAGCGGCCTGGTGTCCAGACACGCACGGTGACGGCGCTTCTCCCGCGGGGCCTGACCCGTTCTCACGCTGCACTTCTGAGTTCAGTCCAGTCAGTGCTCATACCTTTCGTGAAGCCGCCTTGACTTCCGTTGGACAGCTTTTCTTTCTTGGTGATATAAAGGCATTTAATAACATACCACGATTGAAACCATGCAAATAAAAATACTTTGGCCCCCTGATGTGAAGAGCTGACTCATTGGAAAAGACCCTGATGCTGGGAAAGACTGAAGGCGGGAGGAGAAGGGGACGACAGAGGATGAGATGGCTGGATGGAATCACCGACTCAATGGACATGAGTTTAAGCAAGCTCCGGGAGTTGGTGATGGACAGGGAGGCCCGGCGTGCTACAGTCCATGGTGTCGCAAAGAGTCGGACACGACTGAGCAACTGAACTGAACTGAAATAAAAATATGTGCAAGCAAACAAGACTAGAGGGAAGACTCTAAAATTCTAACTTATATTTAAGAGATGGAATTTTTCTAGGTTTTCTACAGTGCTTTTTCTTCAAGTGTTTTGTAATTTGATTATTTTAATAATGAAAACATTTTGTGTATTTTAAAATGATTTTATATTTTTGTAAATGCCTAAAATGTGTCTAATTCTGAGCTATGACTAATGTAATCTACATTTTGGTGACTAAAAATAGCAATTTTTTAAACAAAATCTTTTCTCCCTGAAAAATATAAAATGTATTTTCTCCTATGTACAATAAAATAGAAGATTACTATTAATTGTGAATGCCTTAGGGCCGTGAGGATTTAAAGAAAATCAAGTTAATACTTTCATAATCTAATTTCAGTGATCAAAGGGCTATAACCTAATAACTACAAAAAAAAAAAAGAGCTGCATATGGGAAATAGTCAGCATAAACACATATAGCATTTAACTGTCTGCTTAAAAATGGTTAAGATAGGAGGAAAAAAAGTTTCCCTGAGCAAAACTGTTATTGATTAACTCTGAGCAAGGCAATAAAAACTTCCAAAGAGATTAGACAATGAAATTTACAATGTTAAGAATATTAATGATCACCTTGGATAACCACATGAACAATTTTCCAGAGACAACTGTTACCAATTAGGAAAGCTAAAATACACAGATAAGCAGGTCTTTCCCTGGCTTGTTCCATCAAAAAGCAGCCTTTAGAGATGGAGCGTTATTAAAACAGACTTGGTTACCTCCCATTCTGCCAGGGCCACCACCTGGAAGTTCATTTCCTAAGCTGAGACACACTCTACAAAGTACCTGCCACAAGATTACCAAACACAAAACAAAGGCTGAGACTCTCAGTCTTTGAATAGTTTCAACAGATTCAGGTTGTTTGACGACATGTGTCTTTGGATGGTCAAGAGTTTGCAAGTCCTACAGGGCAGTGGGCCCCAAACTTTTTGGTACTAGGGACCAGTTTCACGGAAGACAAATTTTCCCTGGACTGGGAAGGAGGGGGTGGTTTCGGATGATTTAAGCCTAATACATTTACTGTGCACTTTATTTCTATTATCATTACATCAGCTCCACCTCAAATCGTTGGGCGTTAGATCCCAGAGGCTGGGGACCCCTGCTTTCGGGAACAGACTGGTGGTCGCCAAGCGGTGGGGAGGCGGGGATGGAAGACTGAGAATTTGGGATGAGCAGAGGCAAACTGTTGTGTACACAATGGATAAACAAGGTCCTAAGGTTGTTAGCAGGAAACTATGTTCAATGTTCTCTGATAGACTATAATGGAAAAGAACGTGAAAGAGTGCATTTAGTGTATAGCTGAATCATTGTGCTGTACAGCCAAAATTAACACATTATAGATTATATAAAAATGAAAATTTTTATATATTAACATTATGCTGCTGCTGCTGCCGCTGCTAAGTCACTTCAGTCACGTCCGACTCTGTGCAACCCCACAGATGGCAGCCCACCAGGCTCCTCTGTCCCTGGGATTCTCCAGACAAGAACACTGGAGTGGGTTACCATTTCCGTCTCCAACGCATGCATGCATGCAAAGTCACTTCAGTCATGTCTGACTCTGTGCGACCCCATGGACAGCAGCCCACCAGGCTCATCTGTCCACAGGATTCTCCAGGCAAGAATATTGGAGATATTAACATTATAGATTATATAAAAATTAATTATACAGAGATTATATAAAAATCAACACAACACTATGCTTCATTTTTTTTTTCTTAAAAAAAAAAAAAAACATAAACTGCGAGCAAGTCCTGGGTACAGAATCTAGATTTAGATACAGGAAGGTCTTTCCAGAGAAGACAAGACCTGGGCTGGCTCTGGAGGAGGGGAGACTACAGCCTGGCAGGTGACAGAGAAGGGCCACGTGCCACCAGTTAAAAATAAATGTGAGACGAGCCCACACAAAGGCCAGGGAGGGACGAATGTGGAGAATGGCAAACCGACCAGCCAAATTAAGGTCAAGGACACGCGAAAGGCACGAGGAAGTAAGGGCCGAATGGCTGGAGTATGAAGGGCCTGGGTCCAACTCTGAACTTAACAGCAGCGGTGGGCAGGTACCCAGTCAGTTAGCGGGGACAGAGCGGTGGCTGCAAAGATGGTCAATGAAAATAAAAGGAAGGATAAAGAGAAACCGCAAGTTCTTTAGAGATGAGGGTTTCCCATTCCTGAATGCAAGTTACTTACAGATATGTGTCAGCAGCAGCATAGTGAACACTGTCTATACCAGGTATGATGAATTTTCCTGACTCTAAAACTGCTCCCAACAGTTCTCATGGGTTCACATTTGCAGGACCCATTTCTGAAGCCAGAGCAGGCCACTCTCACGTTAAAATTCAGCACGCTGTACCACTGCCGTTAGCCATTCCCAGGAACAGGTGATGGCTCGTGGACAGAGATGCACTTGTCGATAGGAAATTCCCAGGAGCAAGTAACTAACCCACACTGGGGGGCGCCACGGGAGAAAACACGGCAGTGCTAGATTTTAGCTCAGCAGGAAAGTAGTCAGATTATTCTCCTGATTATTCACGGATCAACGTTTAATCCAACAGCTCCAATTTATAGTGGAATTGTTGACGTTCTCTCCTGAAAACTGAATGTCTGGTTAATGATTTTCTTCACACTATCGTCCATAAATTCTGTGACTATTTGCATTTGGTTTAGAGAGGTAAGTGATGATTTTTCAAAATAGAGTAGCCAGTTTATAGCTTATTATCCTTATCTTTTAGCTGAATACTATACATATGAGACTACCTAAACCCAAAGAAGGCAATTTACTGGTGTGACTTTCTGTCCAAATGCTAATTTTAGTAACTACTGTAATAATGGGGCCTAGGAGTTGATGCTTTTGAACAGTGGTGTTGGATAAGACTCTTGAGCATCCTTTGGACTGCAAGGAGATCCAACCAGTCCATCCTAAAGGAAATCAACCCTGAATATTCATTGGAAGGACTGATGCTGAAGCTGAAGCTCCAATACTTTGGCTATGTGATGCGAAGATCTGACTCATTAGAAAAGACCCTGATGCTGGGAAAGATTGAAGGCAGGAGGAGAAGGGGATGGCAGAGGATGAGATGGTTGGATGGCATCACCAACTCAATGGACATGAGTTTGAACAAGCTCCAGGAGTTGGTGATAGACAGGGAGGTCCGGCGTGCTGCAGTCCGTGGGGTCACAGAGAGTCTGACAGAACTGAGCAACTGAACTGTAATAATGGGGCAAGAGAGAAGACGTTTAGATGAAAAATAGTAGGTTAAAAAATGATAGTAACTTGGCTTTCAGGTTCTTGGTGGAACTAATAGCTTTGCTTTAAAACTAATACTCATAGAGATAGAGTATTAGAGAGTATTAGTATTAGTATAGAGAGTATAGAGTATTAGTTTCATAGAGATAGAAGTAAGATAATCTAAGCACTCAAGTGGACATGATAAGAATAAATGAGCAAAGAAAAGAAGGGAGGAGGAGAGAGGGAGAGAGAGAGAAGGGAAGTAAGAATAAAGGGATGAAATTAGGCCCCCTTGAATAAGTATCACAACTCAACTACTTAATATCTGTACTTAGATAATTGAAAATCTTGTTTAACTCTTTAAAAGATAAAACTGCCATGGGTATGCTATGCAACCATGCCCAGGGACCCTGAACTGTTTATTCATAGTCTGAAAAGTCTTTGCATTAATTCTTGACAAATAAAGACAAGATACTAAAAAAAAAAAACAGAAGGGCAGGGAACTGCACATCGAGAGAGATCTACGCAGAAGGTGTATCTACAAGTTGACAACCCTCACACAAGCTTAAAAGTCCCAACATTTACTCTGCTTTTGAACTTTCAGTTATAGGTTCAAGCCTGAAAGATACATTATTCCCCCGACACGGCATTTCTTCTCCCCTGTGCATTTGTGTCCCTAGTTTACAGCTGTTCCGAAGCATTCTTATACTCTTAAAAGTGTGCCCCCAACACATACAGACGTGTTTCAGCCTCAATCCATGGAAACCCTTGCACTTATTTTTCCTAAAGATGAGTTTCAGGGTTATGTAATAATGAACTTCATCCTTTTGTACAAATTAAACCAGGAGTCATAAAGCAGTAGGTAAATGAAAAACTGGGTTAAACAACAAAAAAAAAAGAAAACCACACAACTGACCAAATCTATAGCAGGCTCAGCTTTTTCTGAGAGCAAGAGATTAAGGGGCATGCAGTCAACTGGTATGAAGGTCACCAAACAAAATGTTGCAATCTTAAAGTGCCATTGACATGAAGACTGTCCATTAGCAGCTTGGAACAGTCTTCCCCTTCGCTAATTACTGTCTTAGACCAAATCATTCATACATGACAAGCATACGCTACATTTACAGTAAAACGTTTTAAAAATTAGGAACATTCTTTTCCTTACATTGAAATAAAAATCCTGAACCTAACTTTTAAAAATTATATTCCCATTCTCAGTTTTTCGTTAAAGGGACCCAAAAGCTCAAAACGTCCACCATTGGTCTCTGCACAGTAGATATGGGCTTGGACAAATCTGTCTTTTCCTCACTCACTGCCTGCCTGCTGACCATGTTGAAATCACCAAATTGTCTCAGTTGGAAATCTTCTGATTTTTCAGAGGAAAAAGCTGAAAGCCACAAGCCACCAACGACCACAGGTACCTCGAGCTTTCTAAGTCCGAGTCAGAAGGAAGCGTGAAACGCAGGGGACCTCGGCGCATCTCCCGCCTGCGGCTGACCTGCGGACTTCCTGTGGGCAGAGACAGCTCCTTGCAAAGCAAACAGCTCCGCACTCTGCATGGAAAGACTTATCTACCTCCTCAGTCCACTCTGCAGGCATCAGACTCCCTGAGAGTCACGGAGACAGAGAATCAGACTCAGCCTATAAGCACAGAGCTGACCTTTAAACCCCAGCCTCTAATAGAGCACTCCGTGTTTGCTCAAGCGTTCCAGGTCAGCAGGGTCTGGTGTTCCGAGGTGGGGCGAGCCCCAGCTCCCACGTGGCCCTGACCGGACAGGGCTGGGGGCTGGGTTAGCAGAGGCCCCACACCTGGTATCCCGACTTAGAACATGTTCTCTTGCATCAAGAGAGAGATCTTGGGAGGACACAAGTCAGCTGACTGACTCCTAGCCACCAACTCGGGAAGAAAGGAGAGAGAGTCCTGGGGGCCCAGGGACTGAAGCTTTGTTTTCTTGGCTTTCACCTAGCCAGAGTATTATTCCATACCAACTGCTGGTGATGGTGGTGGTTCAGTCACTAAGTCGTGTCCAACTCTTACGACCCCATGGACTGTAGCCCACCAGGCTCCTCTATCCATGGGGATTCTCTAGGCAAGAACACTGGAGTGGGTGGCCAGTTTCCTTCTCCAGGGGATCTTTCCAACCCAGGAATCAAACCCAGGTCTCTTGCATTGCAAGTAGATTCTTTACCAACTGAGCTACAAGGGAATCCCACTGAGGGCTGGAGCGTCAGGCAAAAGGAGAAATCAGGAATACTTCCCCTGGGCTTTATTAAAAATAGACTTTAGTCATCATGGATCTGGGGCATGTGTTTTCACTTTTCAAAATATTGCATTGAAATAATATTTATCCTAATTACTCCATTTTTTTTTTCTTTTTGGTACCCTCATGGAGGGCGTCATTCACTTCACCCTGTTCCTGGCCGAGTTCTGTCACCACACTGCTTCCATTTACATCTTAACCTGGAAGCAGATTCAGGCAGGATGGTTGTGATGCTTGCAGCTGAGATAAGAGAGGAAGAAGAGCCCAAAGTGTCTTCTATGAACCAGGTACTATGCTAGGCATCTTAGGTACATTCTTTGGGTCCTTACCTAAGAGGAAAGTATACTAATTTCCAGCTGAGGAAGTGGCGACTTTGAGAAGCAGTCTTCCTTCTCACTTTCCTCCCTCTCGGGAACTAGCCCCACCAGCTCCCTGATATTGAAGACAGAATCCTGGGAAAGGTCCATCATTCCTCCTCTGCGACTCGCTGAATTCATTGCCAACACTTATAACTGTTCGTGGTCATCTACATAGTAAGTGGAGGAGTAAACATCAAAAGATGGCCTGTTTGATGACAACCTCCACAGCCTTTTCCCCTATCTGCCACTTCTTCAAGGAGAGTCAGGGTCACTACACTGCTTCAGTATCTCGGTCCTGGGTGGGCCCATCCAGGAGAATGTCAAATTATTTCCAAGTGCTGACTGGTTTACAAATTTACACGTGACAAGGAGCACGATCTAAAATATAAGCTCTATCCCTGGCCCAGGACACTACACTGAGCACCAGATTCCAAATGCCTGGTGTTTCCACTTGAGGATTTCAGGCACGTCTGAAACTAAAACATTCAAAACAGGCTTCTTCCCCTCCAACGCCGCTTCTCTTGGGTTTCCTCCATCTCAGGACCTGGCATCATCCACACCAGGTGGGCACTCAGACCAGAAACCTGGCAACTGCCTTTGACACCACCCCCTGCCAACTTCCCCATTTAAACTGTGACCAACACCTGTCCATTTAAATACCAAAGCAATATCCACAACAACATTTACTAAAGCATTCACTCTGCATGGACTCTTATGATGCCTGGCGAGAATTAATAACCCACTCAGTCTTCATAATGACTCTCTGAGATGGTTCCTTTATAGAGAAGCTTATTTGCTCATGGTCACACAGTAAGAGGGGGAACTCGTATTCTAACCAGTTTGTCTGGCTTTAGAACTCACACTCTTAACCATGACATCCTGTCTCCAAAATAATCAAGCACATTCACCTTTCTGGTTTCCCACTGCCCCGTCTCAGTCCACGCTGCTGTCATTACTCACTCAGCACCTGCAAATCCCTCTTAAAGGGTCACCTAGATTCCACACCTACCTCATCTCTACACATCAGTCTTCACGAAGCAGCTAACATGGTCACTTTCAAGTTTATGTCAGGTCATGTGATTTCCTCTGCTAAAACTCTCAAAGCCATTTCAGTACACTCTGAATGAAATTCAAATTCCACAGTGTGGACTATGACCTCCTCTATGGACTGGCTCTTCCCAGATCTCGCCACTTTCTACCTTTCTATCCGACTAAGCAGCCTTCCTGCACGCCCATGCCCTGGGACGTCCTTTCCTGCAGGGCTTTCTTCCTTCTCTGGCTGGTCTGTCTAACCTTCCACATATCCTAGTCCACTTCCCTGACCCCTCAGCCTAAAGAAATCTCCACATTATTATCAGCACCCTCTCCTTTTCCTTCACAGCAATCCCAAAATGTATTAACTCTACATTTACTTGTATTTTTTACCTGTTGATTGCCTGTGAGCTCCAAGAGGCACAATCAAGGTGTTTCATCCACCACTTTTACTCCCTGTCCCTTTTCCCAGAGCCGTAAATATAAACAATGTAATTATTCATTCAGAGAATAAATTAATTCTTGGGCAGCTCTTTTAAAGATCTTTAAATATTTTAAAGATTTCTACACATTAACCGAAGAAGGCACTTTAATAAATATCATTGAAACTCAAAAGGAAAAAATATATGTATACATGATATCTTCTTTACTTCCTATATGTTAACAAAAATTCTTAAATCAAATATTCAATCTTTGGAAAAGGCATAGAAGCAAACAAAAAAAGAGAAATTTCTAAAGAATTATTTTGTTAAAAGTCTTATCGAGATAAAAGGATAAAAGGATATCGAGGCTTTTAAAAAGCTCTTGTGTTGTCATCATGACTATCAATCCCATCAATAAGATGAGAATCAAACTCTTGACTGTTCTTATTTAATCCCAATACAGAGTGGTGTTCCATAAATATATATTAATGATAAGTGATGAGAAATTTCAATCACATATCTTTTGGCAACTTACTTCTCTTCACACTTTAGAGGCTGACTTCCCATTGGTGCCAAATCTCTTATCAGGAAACAGCAAACCATTCATTGCACGTGATTTTTCTACTGCTCTGCTGTGTCACAGATGTTCTAGGAATATATACAGATACTTCTTTTCTCTATATAATAGAGAATCATTTGGTTTGAGATTAAGGTACCTGTTCTTTCAGATTTCAATACTTCTAAAAAGAAAATGAATGAATCAAAAAAATCCATTATGAGCTATGAGAAAAATTTTGCTAATCGTATATCTGATAAGAGATGTGCATCTAGAATATAAAAAGAATTCAATAATACGAAGACAACACAATTTAAAAATAAGCAAAGAATTTGATGACATTTCTCCAAGATAGATATAAAAAAAGCCAATAAACATACGAAAAGATGCTCAACATCCTTGGTCATAAGGGAAATGCAAACCTAAAATCACAACAAATATCACTTCATATCCATTAGGATAGTAACAATCCAGAAAAAAAGAGGAAAATGTTAATTATTGGAGAGGATGTGGAGAAGTTAAGAGCCCTTATACACTGCTGAGGGGAATGTAAAACGGTGTCGCACTTTGGAAAACAGTCTGGCAGTTCCTCAAAAAGCTAGATATAAACTTACTGTATGACAAAGATATTTTACTCCTAGCTATACACCTAAGAGTAATGAAGACATATAAAAACATAAAAACACTAGCACACAAATATTCATAGCAGCATTTGTGCATAATAGCCAAAGATGGAGCAACCCAAACATTCATAACTGATGAACGGAAAATAAACTATGATACATCCAAGTAATGGGCTCCCCTGGTGGCTCAGCTGTAAAGAATCTGCCTGCAATGCAGGAGCTGCAGGAGTCGTGGGTTTGATCCCTGGGTCTAGAAGATCCCCTGGAGGAAGGCATGGCAACCCACTCCAGTATTCTTCCCTGGAGAATCCCGTGGACAGAGGAGTCTGGCAGGCTACAGTCCAGAGGGTCGCAAAGACTCAGACATGATTGAAACAACAGCACAGCACAGCACATCTACGTAATAGAATGTTATTCAGCAGTAAAAAGAAATGAAGCACTGGTACATGCTACAGCATGAATAAACCGTGAAAACACTGAGCAAAAAAAAAAGCCACCACAAAAGACCACATGTTGTGTGATTCCACAGATATGAAATGTCCACAGGCAAATCCATAGAGACAGAAAGAAGATTAGTGGTTGTCTAAGGCTGGAGGCAGAATGAGGCACTAGGGGTAATCAGTACCAGCTTTCTTTTGGAGGAGATACAAATGACCTAAAACAAGACAGTGACGGTTACACAACTCTGTGAAGAGCTTTAATTCACGTGAAATGAGTGAACTGCATTGGCATGTAAATTACATCTCAATAGAGTTGTTATAAAACTGATGGAATACAGTTTTTACAACACTTTAAAGCTGGACCTATGTTTGGCATTTACAAGGGTAGGTGTGACTTGACTAAAGAGTATAATTTACTTTCAAGCGCAGAAGATGACTTTTAGATGAAATGTTCTCATGAAGAATTTATGGACTCCCTCGCTTCTCATCATTCCGAGTTTCCTACCTTTGTCCTTATTTAGAGACAGACTTGAAACACGGGGCCAGGTTAATAGAATGTTAGAGTGGCAAGCTGAAACTCCAATACTTTGGCCACCTGATGCGAATAACTGACTCACTGGAAAAGACCCTGATGCTGGGAAAGATTGAAGGCGGGAGAAGAAAGGGAACGACAGAGGATGAGATGGTTGGATGGCATCACCAACTCGATGGACATGAGTTTGAGTAAACTCCGGGAGCTGGTGATGGACAGGGAAGCCTGGCGTGCTACAGTCCATGGGGTCGCAAAGAGTTGGACATGACTGAGCGACTGAACTGAACTGAGAGTGGGATGAGATGAAGAAATGATCATTTTAGAGGAAGAAAGTTAAGCTCCAGAGAGAAGAAATATTTTTTCCAAGATCAGAAATGTAAGGAGAAGGAAAATCAGAGATTGCCAAAGATTTGTTTTTATTCTGTGGCAGCACCATACAGAATGGAGAGCCATGAGTGGCATTTTCCAAGGTGGCCCCAGCCCAGAGCTCTGCACAGTTGAGTCTCCTGCATGGAAAGGAAATCCCATTCAAAGTCTGAGAAGGGCAGGCATGAGGCTCATCCCTTCAGTAAGCACTGACGAGCTCCTGGCCACGCCCTAGGCACTGTGGGAATAAAGACACACACTTTTTTTTTTTTTTAAAGACAGAAGAAAACTGGGAAATTTAGATTTGGGTCTCTAAACATCAAGAGTTAGGCTGTCATGACATTGAGCTCCTGGGCTGGGCACCTCCATTGGTGGTGGTTTAGTTGCTAAGTCGTGGCTGACTCTTGTGACCCCACAGACTGTAGCCCAGGCTCCTCTGTCCTTGGGATACTCCAGGCAAGAATATTGGAGTGGGGTGCCTTTCCCTTCTCCAGCGGATCTTCCTGACCCAGGGGTTGAACCTGGGTCTTCTGCACTGCAGGCAGATTCTTTATCCACTGAGCCACCAGGGAAGCCCAGTCACCACGTGACTTTGCAGCAGCAGCAAGTAGAGATGAAAGCAAATGGGGTGTTGAAATTGATTCTGAATCCTCTCTTCAACCTACTCAGCAAACCCGTCTTTCCCACCTTCCCTTCTTCCCCACACCCCTGCTTTTGAGACCCCGAGAGATCTCACCCAACGGAGGCCTTCAGTGACACCCTGTGATCTTCTGTCCGTGAGAAATGTGAATCCAGAACTGATTTTGTTTCCCCCGTGTTCCTGAGAGTTGACGACGCAGCATAACTTCAGTTAAATCATTACCCATGATTCAATTTAAACACTGGTATGAACACAATGCTTTAAAAAAATAATCAAACCAGTCTGTTTAGATAAGAATTTTTGACCCCAAAAGTTAATTTTTTACTTCCATATTCCTCTGCTACCTCCCCTTCGCAATTTTCCTCTATTTCAGAAAGTTTGAACTGCCTAAGAGAAGACTGGCTCCCTTCCAAGGGGATATTTTATTAACAGGTGGTGAAGAGAAAGTGTATCTAAGAGCCAGTGAAATACAGGATTGATTTTTACTCCTCTGTTCCTTCTGGCTGACGAGGAGAAATGGCCGTGCTGGGCCTGGGGCTGGTTTAAGTGGGCTGGAAACCCAGGGGTACTGTTTGACATCACTATTACTGCTCTACTCTCTAAAAAATATTTCTAAAGCTTTTTTTTAAACTGCTTCACTAAATTTCTCTGCAAACTATTATCTTCTCACATAAGTTGGTAAGAAAGTACATGGCCCTTTCAGACTCTGAAAGCAAGTTGTTTAAAAATAAGTTGAAAGAATTTTTGAAGCTTAGAGGAATGCGTTCATTCCATCTGTCTTCGCTGTCACTGGATAGAAACTGCCTTAAAAGAAAAAGAGGTTCCGACAGACACATCCACACTACTATGTATAAAATATACAACAAGGACCTATGGTAGAGCATAGGGAACGCCACTCAATACTCTGTAATGGCCAATATGGGAAAAGAAGCTAAAAAAGAGTATAGATACACATAAACTGGTTCACTTTACTGTACACTGAAACTTTCCTGAAACTAACACAACACTGTAAATCAACTATACTCCAATAAAAACTAAAAAAGAAAAGAAACCAAGGTTTCTCTCCACCTTGTGGGACAGTGAAATAGAGGTTTGTTTTCTTTTTTTTTTTAATTGGAGTATAGTTGCTTTACAATGTTGTGTTAATGTCTACTGTACAGCAAAATGAATCCGCTGTATGTACCCATCGAGCCCCTCTTTTTCTGATTTCCTCCCCATTCAGGTCACCACGGAGCACGGAGTCGAGCCCCTGTGTGAAACAGCAGGTTCCCGTTAACTCTCTCTTTTATACACAGTAGTGTATGTCAATCCCAGCCTCTGAAATAGAGTTTTGTACCCGATAGTGACGAAAGCGTTCTCCTGCTTTCCTCATTCAGTAACCAGCCTGTCTACTCTCCAGGTTCATTTAACAAGGCTCTTCCAGACTTTGTATTCATTTAGCCGTTAGTTAGCATTTATCCTTGGTTGAAAGTGAGGGGGCAAAGGTGCCGATTTGCGAATCCCTCTAATTTCCAATCTGTTGGTCCTTCTAGAAATAGTTTGGTGGAAAAGAAGATACAACTAAAAAAAAATTGTGGGGTTCCAGTGTTTTTAGTGTCACAAACTGGCAAATTTCACCTCCCTGTGGGATTGACGAGGCTTTGATGGACTACACATGCTTTGGATAGAAGTGAGGGAGGCAGGGAAGGAATTCCTGGTGGAAAGGAGCTTTCTGGCCTCACAATTCTCTAAACCAGAGGTGGGGCTTCCTGGTGAGGACATCACTTTTCTTTTATAAATTATTTTTATTTTTAATTTAAATAGATATATTTTTACATTGTACAGTGTTGTGGTTTCTGCTGTGTTTCTGCAGCAGCCATAACTGTCCAGACGCCCCCTCCTTCCCTAGCCCGCCTCCCCTGCCCTCACCCCAGCGCTCCGGGTCATCACGGACGGCGCAGCGGGCATCCTGCGCTGCAGGCGCCTGCTCACCAGCATTCCGTCTTACACCCGACAGCGCATCCACCTGGACGCTACTGTCTCCATCCGTCCCACTCTCTCCCCCGCTGCGTGCGCACGTCCACCCTCGGACACCACTTTGAAAGAAGAGCTGGGACTATCTGGAAGCTCCAAGAAGCCTTCAGAGTCGTGACAGCAGCAGCCATTCACTCACTGCTTCCCCGTTCACAGCAAAGCTTGGCGGATTTTAGGGCATCCCCAGGGTGCCCCGCCAAATGCAGGCCCCGGGCCATTAGAGCTGGGCGGGGAGCTGAGACTCTGCGTGTCTAACAAGCTCACAGAGCTGTCGACGGGGCTGGGCCAGGGCCCACATCTGAGAGTGGGGTTCTAAAGAGATGGAGCGATGTATAAGAAAAGAAAACACCGTGAGGCTAAATGACAGCGGTCGTTTTCGGCCGATACTGTATTTGGGGGTCAGTTTTCCTTTTCTAAAAGAAGCAGCAGCTGTGACCGGTTGATGGCTTTGGAACTCTGGTCAGCTGGCTTCCTAGGCTCCAGACCCTGCAACTTTGACAGAAGGCTGAAATGATGGTCTTTAGTTTACATTCAATTGCTTTGGGGCATTGAAAAAAAACTTCCTTCTCCACTACTGCAATCTCATTGACTCTCAGTGAGTTAAATATTTTCAACTCTTTCAGGCCACTCAGTGGGGTACCAGTTCATGCATTGGCTGCTGATAATTTAGCTCTGACTTTCAATTTCCTCCGTCAAACCTATTATAAATGGTAAAACTGACTGAGTCGAGAGTCTTCTCCTTCCCTCACACTGCAGCAAATCTCCTATCAGTAGCCTGAAAAATTATCCAGCTGATGGCCGAGGTGTGATGTAAGCTCAGGGAGAATCACACTCACGTTGTTCAACAAGAAAGATGCAACTCCGAACCCACAGTAACACAAAGGTGATGTTTAGATAGAGCCTCAGATAGCCTTTAATCCTCAAATAGATTACATATTATACATATTCTAAAGAGAAAAGAATTCTTGCAAGTCGTATTTCTTAAATTTTTCTTTTTTGTTTATATTAACTTCCTTTTTCTGCCATGCCACATGGCATGTGGGATCTTTGCATGCATGTATGCTAAGTTGCTTCACTCCGGTCTGACTCTTTGTGACCCCACAGACTATAGCCCGTCAGGCTCCTCTGTCCATGGGATTCTCCAGGTAAGAATACTGCAGTGGGTTACCATGCCCTCCTCCAGGGGATCTTCCTGACCCAGGGATTGAACCTGCGTCTCTTACATCTCTTGCATTGTGGGTTCTTTACCACTAGTGCCACCTGGGGCCTGACAAGATGCTGAATTGTGCCCCCTGCAGTGGAAGCGCAGAGTCCTAACCACTGGACCACCAGGGAAGCCCGTACCTAGTTTTTATACAAGTACTTACAATGTAAATATTAACTGAGAACTTATTTATTTGTATTCTGAGAAGCTCAATATCACATTTTACTTTCAAAATGCATTGAAGTCAATAGGGCAGAAGAGTTAAATTTTAGCCTTTCAGTTCTAAGAAATCATTTCGCATACACCAGAAAGCATCTACCTAACACCTTAGCAGCTGTCCCACAACTTTGCTGCCACTTCCCTGAAATTTAAACAGATTTCATTTAGCACATTATCTTACTGGCATTTTAGAATGTATTACAATGGTGCACTCTGTCATTTGAAGAGCAAAATATACAGGAAAGTTAAAATGACAGGCTTATCCATCTGTGACTTACCTATCTAAAATTAAGCTGAAGTTACTATTTCTTGTTTTCTTGCACACTAAGAAAATAAATCTACTGGTTTAAAATCTAAAGCTAACATCGTCAGGAGCATCAGAGAGTTCAGAGATGATCAGAAAAATTGCACTAAAAAACAGTTTACTCTCAATTATATGCATTAATGTGGGGAGCAGCGGCACAGAAAATGTTCAAACCATTGTGTTGGTTTTATAATGCTCATGATTTTCTTTTGCACCAGATTTTTTTTTTCCATTTTCTTAACAGGTCATACAGACTAATGTTTAAATAATTGACCCCTGTTCCTTTAACCTACCCTAATCTAACTAAGCAGGGAGAACATGAAGGTTTTACTTCATATTTCACTAAATAATTGTGAAGAACTTGCCTGCCAATGCAGGAGACAGGGGTTCAATTCCTGGGTCAGGAAGATCTCCTGGAGGAGGGCACGGCCCCCCACTCGGGTATTTTTGTCTGGAGAATCCCACTGACAGAGGGGCTTAGCAGGTTACAGTCCAAGGGGTCACAAAGAGTCAGATACGACTTAGCAACTAAACAATAGCAACAACAACAATCTTTTCAAACAGACCATTTTCTAGGCAATGGTACAGATTTTCAAATGGCTGTACAATTCTCAAAAGGTTAAGAACCACTGCTAAGAAAGGAATTTAAATCATCACAAAAAAACGAATTCCCAGAATTGCTTTGAAGAAGTTGACCCCAATCTTGGGTTGGAGTGAAGCAGTCCTGGGTTTAAGTCTGCGTTCTGCCACTCACATACTGCACCACATCAGGCAAGTTACTTAACCTCTCTGAGCTAGAGTTTCTTTCTCTATAAAGTGGGATAAGACTAGTGCCTACTTTGTGGGGTCCTTATGAAGACTGAGTATAATGTTTGTAAAGAACTTGCAACCTAGCTATTATACTGCATATGCTCAAGAAATAGTTCAGTTCAGTTCAGTCACTCAGTCATGTCTGACTCTTTATGACCCCATGGACTGCACCACGCCAGACCTCCCTGCCCATCACCAGCTCCCGGAGTTTACTCAAACTCATGTCCATGAGTCGGTGACGCCATCCAACCATCTCGTCCTCTGTCGTCCCCTTCTCCTCCTGCCTTCAATCTTTCCCAGCATCAGGGTCTTTTCAGGTGAGTCAGTTCTTTGTATCAGGTGGCCAAAGTATTGGAGTTCAACTTTAGCATCAGTCCTTCCAATGAATATTCAGGACTCATTTCCTTTAGGATGGACTGGTTGGATCTCCTTAGCTGTTACTATAATTACTATTATTTGCTTTATTAACATTGTAAAATAACACTTTGAAGATGAGGCTTTATCGACCAAGCAATGAGGCATATTATTCTAAATCTTCTTGCAGTTGGCTAATAAAACAGACACGTGGCTAATAAACAATGATTAAGCAAAAATAAGACTGGGAGCTGACTGTGGCTCAGATCATGAACTCCTTATGGCCAAATTCAGACTTCAATTGAAGAAAGGGAAAACCACTAGGCCATTCAGGTATGACCTAAATTAACTCCCTTATGATTATACAGTGGAAGTGAAAAACAGATTCAAGGGATTAGATCTGATAGACAGAGTGCCTGAAGAACTATGGACATAGGTTCATGACAGTGTATGGGAGGCAGTGATCAAGACCATCCCCAAGAAAAAGAAATGCAAAAAAGCAAAATGGCTGTCTGAGGAGGACTTACAAATAGCTGTGAAAAGAAGAAATCAAAAAGCAAAGGAGAAAAGGAAAGATATTCCCATTTGAATGCCAAAGAAGAGCAAGGAGAGATAAGAAAGCCTTCCTCAGCGATCAGTGCAAAGAAATAGAGGAAAACAATAGAATGGGAAAGACTAGAGGTCTCTTTAAAAAAAATTAGAGATACCAAGGGAACATTTCATGCAAAGATGGGCACAATAAAGGACAGAAATGGTATGAAGCTAACAGAAGCAGAAGATATTAAGAAGAGGTGGCAAGAATACACAGAAGAATTTACAAAAAAGATCATCATGACTGAGATAATCACGATGGTGTGATCACTCACCTAGAGCCAGACATCCTGGAATGTGAAGTCAAGTGGGCCTTAGAAAGCATCACTGCAAACAAAGCTAGTGGAGGTGATGGAATTCCAGTTGAGCTATTTCAAACCCTAAAAGATGATGCTGTGAAGGTGCCATACTCAATATGCCAGCCAATTTGGAAAACCCAGCAGTGGCCACAGGACTGGAAAAGGTCAGTTTTCATTCCAATCCCAAATAAAGGCAATGCCAAAGAATGCTCAAACTACTGCACAACTGCACTCATCTCTCACGCTAGTAAAGTAATGCTCAAAATTCTCCAAGCCAGGCTTCAACAGTATGTGAACTGTGAACTTCCAGATGTTCAAGCTGGATTTAGAAAAGGCAGAGGAACCAGAGATCAAATTGCCAACATCCGTTGGATCATTGAAAAAGCAAGAGAGTTCCAGAAAAACATCTATTTCTGCTTTATTGACTATGTCAAAGCCTTTGACTGTGTAGATCACAACAAACTGCAGAAAATTCTTCAAGAGATGGGAATACCAGACCACCTGACCTGCCTCCTGAGAAATCTGTATGCAGGTCAGGAAGCAACAGTTAGAACTGGACATGGAACAACAGACTGGTTCCAAATCGGGAAAGGAGTATGTCAGGGCAGTATATTGTTATCCTGCTTATTTAACTTATATGCAGAGTACATCATGAGAAACGCTGGGCTGGAGGAAGCACAAGGGGCAATCAAGATTGCCGGGAGAAATATAAATAACCTCAGATATGCAGATGATATCACCCTTATGGCAGAAAGCGAAAAAGAACTAAAGAGCCTCTTGATGAAAGTGAAAGAGGAGAGTGAAAAAGTTGGCGTAAACATTCAGAAAACTAAGATCATGGCATCTGGTCCCACCACTTCATGTCATGGCAAATAGATGGGGGAAACAATGGAAACAGGGACAAACTTTATTTTCTTGGGCTCCAAAATCACTGCAGATGGTGACAGTAGCCATGAAATTAAAAGACACTTGCTCCTTGGAAGAAAAGCTATGATAAACCTAGACAGTATATTAAAAAGTAGAGGCATTACTTTGCCAACAAAGGTCCGTCTAGTCAAGGCTATGGTTTTTACAGTAGTCATGTATGGATGCGAGAGTTGGACTATAAAGCAAGCTGAGTGCCAAAGAACTGATGCTTTTGAACTGTGGTGTTGGAGAAGACTCTTGAGAGTCCCTTGGACTGCAAGGAGATCCAACCAGTCCATCCTAAAGGAGATCAGTCCTGGGTGTTCATTGGAAGGACTGATGCTGAAGCTGAAACTCCAATACTTTTGCCACCTGATGCGAAGAGCTGACTCATTTGAAAAGACCCTGATGCTGGGAAAGATTGAAGGTGG